CCTTTAGGGACCATCAGAAGTGTTTGGTGTGCCTGTTGAGATACACCAGTAAGACTGTTGTGCATCCGTCTCTGGTGGTGAATTGCGATTTGAGAATGAGATATACCCATGATGTTCTCCAGAGGAAATCTTGGTCTCGTAGACAAACTCCCATTGACATAAAGGGTTTTTTTATTCCCTGCTCTAGTAGATGTAGGGTAGAGATAATGCCATTCAATTTCTCCCATTTTGTTTTGTTTGCAAAAAGCGCCATATGTGCAAAGTAATGTCGCCTTGGCTTGTTCTACCAACTGAGTGCTCTGGTTGGCTAAACATCCTTCTGCTAAAAAACTGTATAATTAGATTGTTTTATTTTAAAGGTCATTTTTTCATTTCTTCTAGTACAAAGCCTGCTTTCTTCTTATGATAGCTTATCTTTTTGTTAGTGCTTTGAGTTTGTTATTGTTTGCTACCTTAGTTAAACTTACTGTAGAAATGATTGCTGTAATACACAAAAAATTCTATTTTCTGGTTAAAAACCAGGCAGTGAGATATACCGTGAGTGTGAATCTCACAACAGATGTAATCCAATAGTATTTTCTTTCTTTTCAATTAGAGCTCTAGATACTAGATAGAATTTCAGTTCTGCTATAGCTATAATTGCACTTTTTCCTTTATTTCTCTGTGTTTGTGTCCAACTATCTACTGCTCCTTTGTTTCCTTCTTTATATTAGCAAAAGTATTTTATTGTAAAGCATTACTGTTACCTTCACAGCTACTTTTACTAGTAAATCATGTATTCTTCTTTGTCCCTTCAAATGTTTTCACTTTGCCATTCTCAAATTGTATTTTAATCTATTTATCTTTGAGCATAAGCTCATCTACAAGGCCTTGATTTTGTTCTCCTCCTAGCCAGGGACCTTTAACCTTAACTGACTGGTGTCTGTTGCATGACAAGACTTCATAGCTGGATACAGCACTGTGTTGTGTGCTCTGATACATGTTCAGATATTTTCTGGTTTCTTTTTAGTGCTTTGCTGTGCGATCTCTGGGCTGGGTAGAAATGGCAGAAGAAGATCTGGCTCCTGGAAAAAGCAGTGTTGCTGTGAACAATTGCATCAGACAACTCTCTTACTGTAAAAATGACATCAGAGACACTGTTGGCATATGGGGAGAGGTAAGAACGGGGTGAACTTCTCCTCCTCTTAGAACCCCCTCTTGTGCCATAAAACATCTTGAAAGAACAACTCTGTAAGCAAATACATCCATGCTCTGTGTTAGGGATTTCCCTATCCTAGCTGGTGCTGCCAAAAAATATAATAGGGTTCAAGGAAAGTGTTGATGTTTTTGTTCCAAACTGCTCAGGACAGCAGATGCCACAAAGATCTCACCTTCATGTTTACATCTGTGCTCATACACACCTATGCAAAAAAGTGTTGGGGAAACACAAACTAAACTGTTGAAATCAGTGACCAGAGATTTGAGAGTGGTGCTTTGGAACAGCATTTTCACAGGTCTCCCAGTGACAAAAAAGTTTTAAGGAAATCCAGACAGGTGTGACCCATGCTTCCGAAATGTGTAAGAAGATTGAGACTGATGGACAGATGGCTTATTTTAATGTTATTATTTTATCAGTGTTTCAGAAGGAAATTAATTTCATGTCATCAGTGTGTCTGTTGGTTCCTCTCCAATAACTCTTGAATCTGTTCACCAGTGTCATCCAGTTTTGAAGGATGCCAAATTCCCCCACATTGAGGGGGAAAACAGAGAGCCCAGCTCTCTTCTCTTTTTGCTTGCTGATGGGTCAGTACACCTTCATCAACTGAACCATGCAAACTCTGTGCTACTTACAAATTGGCAGTGAAGACAGGATAATGCTGTGGGAGCTCAGGGGGAAGCATGAAGGAAGCTAGAGGTATTGTGGTTTGGAAAAGGGTGCGCTGGGGACAGATGAAGGAGTGGAAGTCGTGGAGGGATCAGTAAGTGAAACAAGAAGAAAGGAAAGGGTGGGGTTATAGTGGTGGGATGTACAGAGGACATAGGAGACAAGCCCATAGAAAAACATCTTTGTTACTTGGTTGTTCATGGAACAACTTAAACTTCAGCCAAACCTTATTCTCTACCTCTCTCCTGACATGTTTTCAAGAGGGTTACACTGGTGTGGATTTACTACACAAGATCTGAGTGCAAAAGTGATGGAAGGGTGAATGCTGTAACCTTCACTTGTGTGATGTAAGAGAAACGGCATTGCCAAACAAGAGGAATTAAAAGAAAGACTTCTCTATTTCAGTAAAAAATTTAGGAAAAATATCCTCCAGTCTCCAAAATTACGGTTTCTGTCTAAGGCTTGAGTCCAGTGTCCTGGCTATGACCACAACAACGCAGAGACGCTTCAGAGGAGCAACTGGGAGAAAGTGCCTGTTTAAAAATGGAAGTGATGTTCCAAGGGACATATTTAGAGTGCCCTATCTATTTAAAGTAATTTCAGAAGGGTTTTTCTATATTAGAAATGTATGTTGTACACATAAATGAACAAGATAACATTGGTCTCCCTTTTTCTTACTTCTGGGAACAGTTTTATTTAGTTGATATAGCTAGACAAGTAATTAGAGATGTGTCAGTCGTGGACTTTGGACTTACTGCTGACCCCAGGAGGGAAAAAAAACCCCACTCTCTTTACATGTGTGTAATGTGTCTTTCACACGAAAGAACTTTGATCAACTTGAAATACATGATTCACTTTGAAACCATGTGCTTTATTCTGATTTAAGAGTTAATGTTCACATTTTTCTGTATTTCTCTCTGTCAGTCCCATTGTTCTTTGTTGGAAACCCTTGCAGGTTTTCAAGCCAAACTGGTGAAAAGTTTTGGTCCTCTTGAATGGAAGTTTTAATTAAGAATGCTTAATAAAAAAATTTAAAAAAATCAGCCTGCCAAAACAAGAGAGACACTGTGCTTGAATAGGTGGCCCCTGAAGTAAAAACTAGGTTCTTGATTTTAAAAGAAATCATTACAGCCACATTTGTCTGCTGGCAGCGTAATGCTTCAAGAGTGATTGGAAGAGGCACGTTTTAGAGAGGGATCTGAAAAAGTGTGCTCATCACTGACGTATCAGGTGGAGAAATCTATTATGGAGCTCAAACTGATGACAGCAGATAGAGGTTTTAAGATTGCCTAAAGATTTATTTTTAGCTAGAATGTAATGAAAGTGAAAATGGGACTAGGACCATCCCCAAATTTTCATGATTTAAAAACACAAAACAAAAGACAAAAAAACCCCACACCTTGGGTAAAATCCTGGCCCTGCAGAAGCTTCGTCACTGGCTTTGTTGTGGGATTTCATGCCCTCCGCCGCCCTCCAAAAGCAATTCCCTGTAAATCTCTAACTTCCACGGTTCTGTAAAAACAAAGAAGAATAATGCATCTCATCTGTTTGTGTTGCTACTTTGCCATGTGTTATATTCCTGTACAGAATAACAAACAAAATAATGTACATGAAAAAGATACATTGTTGCCATTGACCTATATACCAAAGTATATAAAGCTTCCCTGAAAGACTGCTGGGATCCTTCATTCACCTTCCCTGTGTGGCTCTTCCCATAACAGCCTCCCTCACCTTGGACCATCTCTGCGGGTCTCTGCAGCTCTTCAGCAGTCTGAGACATTGTGGCCTATGTTCAAGTTCCCAGTCCATCTAAATTATTCCTTCTTGCCCTATGCAGTGTTTTCATTTCTAAAATAGCTTTTGTATAATAAGGCAACAAGACTTAGCAAAACATATTGCTTTTGGCTGCGGCCAAGCTATCCCTTGAGCATTGCGAGGATAATTTTCTGTGACTTATGTTGCTTATCTGCACATTCTCCAATCTTTTCCAGCTAATTTAGATACAGTTTTATTACCCTAATCCCAGTGTATTTTGCATGATGAACAGATTTTACCTTCTTGTAATAATTTTCTTCTGGAACAAATATAAAGTAGAAAATGGGTCCAAAAAGCAATCTTTGTGACACTTGGTAATATTCTTCACGCATCTGTTTACTGCTTCTGATCTCCAAGCAAATTTCTTGCCCCTTTTTTTTGTGATGATTCTGTTTTCTGTTTGGTTTCCTTCATCATCCTGGTCTGCCTGGTGCCATCCTGGCTTCTGTGGTGTATTTCCCGTGTTTCTTTTTCTGCATGCCACAAGCAGTTCAATGCTTCTGATTCACCCCATGTACGTGCGTGGTTGTCACAGCTACATTGTTTCTGCTTCATAGGAGCAGCCTATATATCCAGCCTTGCATCTGGGCCACGGCTGTACTGTTTCCATCAGGCAAAATATTCTTGTGTTGGGCATCGCATATACCAGCCCATGTCCCCTTCCTCTCCTACACCCCTCTTGGCTCTGGCGCTACCAGCTCTGTGTCACAGCTCCCCTTTCAGTCCCTGTTAGGAGATCTCGGGGTGGGAAAGATCGTCGGGAGTGCCTGCCCCTTGTTGCCTAGCCTAGAAACCCTGGAAGCAGGCCCTCCCAGGGTGACATGAACGTGTGTCTTACACAGACACAAAATTAGATGTCATTAAGACTTGATGAGCCATTTTAACTGAGCGGGAAGAGGGTTTCTGTGTCACCGAGGTGAAGACAAAGGCCGTTTTTGAAACATTTGTCAGTAGGAAGTCAGACCCCTTCCATTCTTTCTGTTCATTTATAGATTCTGGCACAATAGAGAGGAAACAAATTGCTCTATATTTAGCTGATAGCTCTCACCTTCTTCTTCTTCTTATCAGCAGGAGCTTGTCTTACCTCTCAGCAATAGGTCCAGGATCATTTCCGTGGGTTCTCGTGGTCTGCAGAGTAGGTGTACAGCCTCAGATAGGCATTAGATGTGATAGATCAGACAGCAGACCTTTTGCAAATGCTAGCCATAGGAGGAAGATTAGTATTTGTGAATTAGCATCAAAAGGAAAATTGCCTCTAAATTTGTTTCCTCTAAGGGGAAAAAAAGCATTCTCCTTGTTCTTACATGCCAGAAGAATTAGGGAGAAATCCTGGCTGCAGGATTCTGCCATCACCAGCAGAATTCACATTCATGTCTTAATGCTAGGTTTTCCACTTTAATTAATCTTTCTTCAAAGAGTATCCTGTGAATCCTCTGACATGTACAAATTGCTGTCTGTTCCCATGACCCGTTGGTTAAAGTTTATGGAAACAAAGCACATTGTTTGAAGAAAGGAGCTCTGCCTTAAGAGCACAGGTTTTGATGTAAGCTTTTGCTATTAAGTCAGTTCTTGACTTCTCATATATTTGGAAGAATTTACTGGAGAAAGGATAAACACATAATTAGTTGAGTAACTCAGTTGCTTGGGGTGAATGAGTCAAACAGTTGAATTTAAAAGACATCGAAGATTTTTGTGATTGGGATTGTTTAAAAATATAGTAGTAGCAAGATACTATCTTAGATCTTATTCGCACCAGAAGTAAATGAACTTGTTTTCAATTGCTCTTGGAATAACACAAAACTTTGAGTAAATTAAGAGGATGCAAGTCTAAACAGCATAGGCATAAAACATCTTGATCCTAGTCAGTTTGAGAGGGGGATGTACTGTGTAACTGTACTTTGTCTGGAGTTGCAGGGCAAGGACATGTACCTTATACTGGAAAATGACATGCTGAACCTGATTGACCCCATGGACCGCACAGTTCTTCACTCACAGCCCATTGTGAGCATCCGAGTGTGGGGAGTGGGACGTGACAACGGCCGGTGAGTCTTTGCCCTCCTTATCCCTCTTGACTTGGTGCTGTTTCTGTCTGCTGATAAGGAGTACACAAAGACTCGGAGCAAGTTAGGTATCAAACCTATTCATTTGATTGAGTAATTGTGTCCGAGGGGCTATGAGAGGATAGGTAAATTCTTTTTCTTGCTGATGTTACTGTTTAAAATCTCTGCTTTTCATCATTTATCACTTATATGCTGTTTTGCTAAACCTGTATTGAGCAAACCTTTCAGATTAACTCAGCCAGGTGCATAAAACTGCACACACAATGTTATTTTGTTTCAGAGAGATATATATATAAAATACTTTTTAATATAAACCCATGCTTTCAAGTATGTCCCGTAGTGTGCTTCTCCTGGCTACATGAAAGCATGTCTTCCTGCTGGTCCAAGTTAAATGCACTGTTTACACTCTGACTGTATGTGTGTGTTTCTACTTTCTTGGGATATTTGATTTGATGGTGTAAAAAGTTGGATTGAGGGAAAAATAACGGTTTTAAGCCATTATTATTACTTAAAGATCTTGATGCAAGAAAAGTTCTGAGGGTGTTGCAGAAAACAGGTTTGACCCTGAAACCTGTCTGCCTGTGAGCTGAAGTTCTTCCTCGCCGTAGGGAGCAACCACGAGTGCATGCTGAAGGCCTTCCTGCCCTGGAGGCAGTCTTTCCTTAGCTTTCCTTCCTATCTGGTCTTCTTTTGGTAGCATCCTTTATCACGTAACATTGCTGTGGGAGCAGGATTGTGAAGGTGACTTACTCAGAGTGGGACAGCGAGCTGCCTCCCTGTCCCATTGAGCATTTTGATCTATCAAAAACGTTTCCATTCACATTGATTAATTCCAGGATCTTCGGGCAGTGCCCATCCTGACACATGGGTAGTAAGGATTGAGTCATGCTCGCAAACTGCTGCTTTTTGTCTCCATGTTGGATTATTGAGATATTTGCAATAGTACATGCGGGGTATTTTTGTCTCTGGCTTTGACAAGAAATGTCATTTTGGACCTGAAAAATCTTTCCCAGTAAAAGATTTTGTGAAACTTCTTTAATATACCCTCCAGCCCCCCCTCAAAGTTTCTGATTATCTCTGGCTAAATTTCCAAAAGGAAAGGTAATGAGTGTTTCTGTGACCCAATTCCATCTTTCTAAATGTTTTAGTTCTATAAATGACTGATGGTTGAGTTTTGGGGGGTTTTTTACTGTTTTTCACTTCCATTGGTGCAGATTTTTGAGAGCTCTAAAAGGGGAAAATCCAGTTTGAAATGGTGGGAAGTAAAGAGGTTTTAACTTCTTATGAATAAACCATTACAGTGCTTTGTTTGCCTCAGAAAATGAGTGCATTGCACATTTCCCTTCAAGTCAGATTTCGTAGTAGCTTGCTTTGGTCAGGAAATAAATAGAGCATCTTAAGGGGCGCCTAAAAGTGATACAGCTTTACAGAGTAAAGGAAGCCAGCAGCTTTTCATTAATTTTTTTTTGAAGCATTTACAGTTCTTTTTTCAAATATTTACATTTCTTTGGAAAATAAAATCATTCCATTATGTTGTTTATAAAATAAGATAAAGAGTCACATTTCTCCAGACTGGGTACATCCTTCTCCTAAAGACAGAACTGGTCGTAGAAACATGGATGTGGAAAGGGGACGTTTAAGAGAAATATGCCTTTTGCAATCATGTGGCACCAAGAATGTCATAAGCTTTTGGTGAAACCTATCCAGGGATGCGAGGCAATAGCACACTCTTCTAGATGAATATAAGCCCCATCAGTAGGACAGGAGTTGGTGGGAAAGGTTATGTGTGCTCAGGTCATTCTATCTGTCCTGGTTTGCCATGGTATCCCACAACATTTACCAAAAGCTATGTACGAGGCACAGGCAATAGCATCTCTGATCCCATTCCTGCCCAGTTTCGTGCCGTACCTGGGGACCAAGGATGAATTCCAGTTCTGTTGACACTGATGCAGAAACTCATGTCTCTATTGAGAAAAATATTGTAGTTATGGAGTATATGGGTGAAGTACACATCAAAGTTTAAAAACAAAAAAAACCCCAGTGATGTCCCTCTTTGTCATTAAAGGCAGAAGTTTCCTCTACTCTTTGCCTGAAAAGATATATTATTTGTGATGTTGACAAAACAGAGAACCTAGTAGAGCAAATAAACTAATCTTCTTCTCTTGCTTCTACTATCGGAAGAAGGAGTTGGCCTTTCTGTGTTGAAATGGAACGTTTCTTGTTTCTAGAGAAGATGACTTTTCTTGATTGGTTGTTGTAAACAACAGCAAGAAATAATTTATTGAAGGTTTAATATATAAACACACAATCAAAACCAGCCTTAATATTTCATTTTCTGGCACAGTAGTGTTTTAGCCGCTTTTACTGGAATCTGGGTTTTTTACCTTAAGTTTGATTTCAGAGCTTTCCTATTCTTAGCCCTTCGTAAGAATTTTGATAGATGCTTCTACAGAAATCTCGTGTCCGGTATGGCTTTCAGGACTGGAGCCCATTCTTTTTGAAATTTAATTTGTTTATTGACCCATTTTAAAAAATAAGATTGTAGGTAAAACAGTGTAGCCATTATTTGTAAGTTAAGTCAGACTGGATGTGATGTTAAAGAGCAGGTAGAAAATCCAGAAGACAGATAGAAAGAACAGATGACTGAGCAGTCAGATGTACAATGTGTTTTGAGCATAGAAAGGTTCAGTATAGGAAGCATGCTTTGAAGGGTGGCATATATGATGTAGAATTTGCTGAAGAAGCACTAAAACACAAGAAAAAAGCATTTGGTGCCAAGAGAACCTGAGCTGAGAAAATCGTATTGTTGAGCTGGAAATCGTACCGTATCTCTTTTCATGTATGCATTAACATGCAGTCCTTGGGCTTATCCTGGTAAAATTACCTATTGGTCCTGAGGTGAGAAACACCAGAGCCATTCACTGATTGCAAAAGCGACTTTCCTTCATTATGAGTTTGCTATCATCAGAGAAAAGTGAGGGGAACGCATTGCTGCTTTGGTAGATTAATTGTCCAGGAACTTAACAAAATCCTGGTTTCCGGGGTGAAGCTCTTCCAGGAGTTGTTGCACATGAATGTTGTTAATTAGCTACACCTTCTGGTCTAAGAGCCTGTATAACAAAGTATATTGGGTTTATTGTGAAAGGCAGTGGTTAGATTTTAAGATATTGTAGAAATGTGTATTTTCCTCTCTTTTGAGTTATAACAATAACGATCTGCATAACATCATCTGCAGGCTCTCCTTTTTAACTATATTTTGCTTGTAGTACTTTATTTTGATAGGTTTTGCTTTGGAAATTAAAAGTTTTTTTTTTAGTGGCACCTGACCAGATGATTTTCTAAGCTATGCCGTAATGAAAGATTGATGAAATACAGAGATCTGCTGATGAAAGTTTAATCTGAGGATGTGTCTAACTCACCTCAGGCAGAAATGTCTTCCAGGAGGCTACAAGCTACAATCACTCTCTCCATACATTACACTATTATCCTGATGTCTAAAGTTACTTTATTTAAAACAGTTCTGTGATAAGCAGAGGCTTTATCGTTTTGTTGACTTAGGCTGTGTGTCGATTTTGTGTTTTGAAAGGTAGCATCCCTTGGTTTTAGTTAATCAGTCAGTAAAAGATGTTTGACCTTATGAAAGGCCGGGGTGCCTTGGTAAAATCATGAACAAAAGCAGGTTCCCACAAGAGAAGTTGGTGGTTAGGTATATATGTGTATACGTATATGTAGACTCTATCATGTTTGATACATGTATATGGGCATTAAAGGAAAATAAACATACTGTATCTGTCCATCCTCTCAGCAGACTGTTTCTCAGGTGGCATCCTGTGGTTTTTTTAACAGTAAAAGCCACTGTACTCTGTAGTCTTCCTTTCCTGCTGTACTGAAACCAGAGCCATGATGATTCATTTAATATTATTTGTTAATAAGAAAAGTCCTTTTACTTGCTTAAATTGTTTGATTTCAAGATCAGTAAGGTCATTATCACATGGAGGATTTGTGGTATCACGGGTATACGGTGAGTAATTGTCAGTGCTGTGTTTGCTTTTTAACAAGCAGCCCATGGCATGTGTTTTCCTGGGCTTTAAAAGCATATAGGAAAATACTAGCCTACTGGAGCTGTCAAAGGGTTTTTCTTTTCACTTGTGAGCTGCAGGACTGTACATTAATTATTCCTCAGGTTGGGTTTTGTCTCCCCTTCTCAGCTGCTGGTGCATGCCCTTTGCTTCCTGAGCAGCTCACTAACAAGGAAGAGAGAAAAGGTAATCGCCCATCAATTCCATAGTAGTTTCTATTAGCACATGTCCCTGAATCCTCCTTTATCTTCATTGCTCTTCCACCAATCCAAAGCCTGCCTCAACCTCTATGGGACTTTAATTGCCTAAAAGATCACGGTTCCTTCTGTCATGGTGTCTCCATACAACAACAGTATATTCCAGCTGAAAAATTCAGCTGTTAGCTGGCCAGGAGGGCTGCAGGTGGGTTCAGGAGATGGCTGTGATGGGTCTGAATATGCGTCCAGTTGCTGGATGGCATGGACACCTGGCATGTTGGACAAAACATGTAGCATGTGTCTTTGTTCATCCACTAGCTTTGTCGACACATAGCCCAGGTTTGTTTTCTCTGCATAATTTGTGTGTTTCCCTGGCAGGCTGAGGACGAAGGGCGGTTGCTTTTGTGTCTTAGGTGGTGGAGAGGCAGATTCTCAGATATTGGGGTTTTCTGATTGTAGGCTCCGTGACCAGACAGTGTAAAAGTGTTGTGCTCCCTCCTCTGCCCTAATGCCCATTTTGGCAGATGCTGGTGGTGGGGATCTCTTAATCTCTGTGGATGTCCATTGCCCTGCTTCTTTGAACCGCTGCTGTTTTTCTGCTGCTGAGATATCAGGGAATGAAATTAAGCTGGGAATCAAAAAGGGGAGAAGGGCAGAGAGTAAGAGAGTAAGACGATGCATGCACCAAAGATGAGGCCTAAGCCAC